AGACAGGCTGTCTCAGTTGCATGATTTGAAACGCTGCTAGTGACTGAAGTTTGTGTAAAGGTGCTCTCTGCATTGTTGCATGTCTGTGTTTGTGCTGAGGTAATATTAGGTAGATTTACACAAAGCAAAGTCGAGCTGTGGTACGTTGGCAAGTAAGCAAGTGTGATGCTGTATTGTCATCTCATGTTGTTAACGTGTATTTCTCTCTCTCTTTGTCCCTCCTTCCTCGTCGCTGCTTGGGATCACTGTGCTAATCAGGACATATCTTCTGGATGGGTTAATATCACTTAAACTTTTATTCTGATTAAGTGTGTGTGGGTGTGAAAGTGATGTAGGATGTGAAAGTAAATCTTGATCTCAAAGGTGTGTGATGTTTAGAAATGATCTCCTTCCATGTTTTTGTGTGCTGTCTAATCTCTAGTTCTTCCTGCCCCATCCTCTTCTGAATAGCATATCAGTGTCTATCAGTAACAAATTGCTGATAATCTTTCTGGGAGGCCAACCTCTTTCAAGGATTGCTCTTGTTTCTGGGGCTTTCTCTTAGGGCTGTGACCTCATGCACTTAGGTTTAAAAGAATAGCACACTGAGCCCTGGTGTGCTCAGCAGCACCTAGCTACTCCACTAACACTCCTCACTCAGTCCTTGAACTTTAAGCACCAGGCAGCTCTGCTTTCAAACAGTAGTCTGTTCCCGTGTACGACAGGTAAGGAAACTGCAAACAGTTTGAATCCATAATCTGCTACAAATTAAAATGTCTGCTCACACATGCGGCACCTTTTTATAATTAGACAGATGAGCTGTCAGTGGAGGATGAATAGGGCCAATCTGTGAGCGTATTGTGATGTCTAGCAGTGCAGTCAATCTACACCAAACTCTGGAGTTACAAAAACCGAAACAACGATGGAAGAGCCAAAAAAGTGTAGTTCCTCTAATGGCCACTTGAGTCTGCTTCCACAGACTACCAATTTTACAGCAGAAATATACACATTTACCTGGAAACACGAACCATTTTCATCTCTGAATAGTTTCAGAGGTTCTTGGTCTTCTACATTGGCACTGTCAAAGTAACAAAGTGAAACATCAATGCAAGAATTACCTCAAAGTTAGTCTTTGATTTTAATGTGTTGTGGCTGATGAATGTATATTCACACAAACATGCAGTGACTTTAGGGCCCACATCATTGCCTGTAACAGAAAACTGATGATCCGCTGCAGTTTTCTCTCCTCTTTGCATGGTTTGGATTATCATTAAATTTATATTATGAAAGCTGCTCTTCTATGTGGCAGTTAAGTCAGCATAAAAACGCTCAACTTTCAAATGGGAGGAAAACAGTTTGATCTTAGAGGTGATGGACAAAATTACACATTAAAGACGCTGAATTATTTGGATCTGCAAACACTGTTTGGTGCATCATTTAGAGTGGTTTTTGTGGGAACACTGGGTGTAGAAGAGTGTGTCTAATCCTATTAACAGAGTGTGTGTGAGATTGATTCCAAACATTATCTGTTTCTGCTTTTATAATAACTCCTTGTTGCTGTCAGGTCATGTATGGTGGAAGAGTCTGGTACCCTTGAATCCCAACTGGAGGCCACCAAGGTAAATACTACTTTTACTGTTAAAGTCACATCAAGGGATAAGTGTGAGGGGTTCAAGGCTGTCTTCACACAGTATGACAACAGACCATGGCCCAAGGCAGAGGGGATATACACCTATACGTTTCAGGCTTCACTTTGTATGGGGTGATGGTATGCACTGCCCAACTGAAATGTTGATCTGTTACTTTGCTTGTAATGTACTGACCACTCAAAGCATTTTAAAGTACAAATCGCATTTTACACTCCGTTCTTCTAGACTCTTACATCCATGATCAATTCAAATTTTTATATAGTGCACTAAATCACAACAGCAATCGTCTCAATGCGCTTTATATTTTAAGTTGGAGACCCTACAATAATACAGAGAAAATCCCAACAATTATACGACCAACAGGGGGAAAGAAAAGCTTCCTTTTAACTGGAAATAACCTTTGGCAGAATTCGGGCTCAGGAAGGGGCGCCCATCTGCCGCCACCAATTGGGGGCAAGGGGAGGAAGACGGGACAAATACACACCATGGAAGAAATTGTGACTAAGTTAGTTTGTATACAACTGGGCTATTATTCACCACAGTGATGAAGTTCCCCTTTGTTTTGATGCCATACAGGATACTTTCATGACATGATTTGATTTGCTGATGCCAACACTAGAGCCTTTGAATAAATTGACAGGTTAGCGATTAAAATGTTTTCTCAACTTTTAAATGCAAGGGCTTAATACCATTCTACCCTAAAGATTTCTGTTCTGGTTCTGCCTGAAGTTTCTTCCTGTTAAAAAGGAGTTTTTCTTCTTCCCACTGTCACAAAGCGCTCATGGATAGGTTGTTTGATTTTTGGGGTTTTCTTACTATTATTACAGCAGGGGTGTCGAATCCCAGGCCTCAAGGGCCGGTGTCCTGCAGGTTTTAGACCCTGGGTCAGCACACCTGAATCAAATGATTAGTTTATTACCAGGCTTCTGGAGAACTTCAAGACATGTTGAGGAGGTAATTTAGCGATTTAAATCAGCTGTGTTGGATCAAGGACACATCTAAAACCTGCGGGACACCGGCCCTTGAGGCCTGGAGTTCGACACCTTTGTATACACGTTCTTCACTTTACAACAGGGGTCTCAAACTCCAGTCCTCGAGACCTGGTGTCCTGCAACAAGTGGCATGTTACAGCAGCTCATGAGTGAATGAACAGTGCAATAAAAGTACACTTAAATTTATTTGAGTAGTGTTAGGGGTTGCCACTTCAGCATGCAGTCAAGTTCTGTACTCTTGCTAATGACCTACCGATTTTATTCAGGTGTTTTGCAACAGGGACACATGGAAAAGTTGCAGGACACCAGCCCTCAAGGACTGGAGTTTGAGGCCCCTGCCTTACAATATAAGGTCCCTTGACACTGTTGGTGATTTGGTAAATCATCATTAAAAAGAAAAGAAAGAAAAGCAGAAGTAATAAGCAGCTATTTAACTGCTAATGAACTCACAACTTCCCTTGTGAGTTACTCATTGATGTCACTAGATATAGATTTCCTAGTCACTCCGGTAATGATGAGGCACACTCACTGTCAAGTCTTGAAGCAAGATGGGCATGTTAGTTTCCCCTTAATTATGCTTATTGTTCAAAATTAGGTTGATAATAAACACAGACTAAAATCAGAAAGGAAATGCATTGTTAAGCATCGCACAGTTGTTTGCAGCTTTTATTGAGGGGTGTGTGTGTGTGTGTGCACAGCGTAAGCACCAGGAGATCCGTGCTATGCGCAGCCAGCTGAAGAAGATTGAAGACTTGGGTGCAGCTATGGAAGAGGCACTGATCTTGGACAATAAGTATACAGAGCATAGCACAGTTGGCTTGGCCCAGCAGTGGGACCAATTGGACCAACTGGGAATGAGGATGCAGCACAACCTGGAACAACAGATACAGGCCAGGTATACAGTGCAACAGTAACTGCATGTCACTGAAGTGAGGTGAATCTCAAACACTCTACTGCTTTTACAGTTGCTGCTTGAAATGCATGTTTCTTTTTATCCTTCCTCTTTCAGAAATACCACTGGAGTGACAGAAGAGGCTCTGAAGGAATTCAGTATGATGTTCAAGTAAGTGGCTCTCTCCTGACTGCATTAGGTCTTTCTGTGTCACGGTCAAAATCCTTATCTTCACCCATTTCTTTGTAGACACTTTGACAAAGAGAAGTCTGGCCGTCTGAACCACCAAGAGTTCAAGTCATGTCTCCGCTCACTGGGCTATGATTTGCCCATGGTGGAAGAGGGAGAACCTGATCCTGAGTTTGAGGCCATACTCGACACTGTGGATCCCAATAGGTCTGTTGCATTTCAGGGCGTTTAGAGATCATTTATCCAATCCATATTAATTACCAGTGTCTTAGAAGACAGCACGCACTCACTGCAAATTCACCTTCTTGTAATTGTTGCACTGCAGTTTTAATTTTTTTCTCTGCCAGACATGCTGAACAGGTCTCCTTCAGTGCATGTTTGCTTCATTTTTATGATACCAGTTTAACTTGGCAGGAGTTACAGACCTTCACATTAACCAATTATAGTGTCCAGCACAAGTTGACCTCCAGTCCCCTGCTGAGGTTTCAATTTCCAAGACCTGTAATGTTACCACTCTTACGAACAGGATGCAAACACATTAGAAAACTCTGCTTTACAGCTCTGTCTCCTTTGGCATCATTATTGGATCATTATTTGATCTCAAATCTTTTCAAGTTCTTCATTAGAGCAGCATTTAAATGTAGCATATGCTCTTTCCTATGAGGAGGAAAGCTAGTATGTTTCCTGACTGTGAGAACTGTCTGCAGGGATGGAAACGTGTCGCTGCAGGAGTACATGGCGTTCATGATCAGCCGTGAAACTGAGAACGTCAAGTCTAGTGAGGAGATCGAGAGCGCCTTCCGAGCCCTCAGCGCTGAAAACAAACCCTACGTCACTAAAGAGGAGCTCTACCAGGTCAGACATGTTCTGCTCAGTGTGTCAGTGTCAGGTTATCAGTGGTGGTCTCATTGTTGCCTTCTTTCTTTCAGAACCTGACTAAAGAGCAGGCAGACTACTGTCTGTCACACATGAAGCCCTACCTCGACAGCAAGGGCCGCGAGCTGCCGTCAGCTTTCGACTTTGTCGAATTCACTCGCTCGCTCTTTGTCAACTGATCCTTTCCCCACCAGTGACCAATCGGGAAGCGTTTCCCACACACACTTCAATATGAACACACAGCTGAAACTGCATGATCGTGGCACTAGCAATACTCACCAATACCAAAACTCTGTACTCTATTTATCTCGCTCTGACCTAACTCTTTGTGCTTCTCATGGTAGTGAATGTGATTGTTTTTAGCCATTTTAGCTTGTGCTTTCAGTAAATTTAAGAACCTTGCAACAATGATGTAACACCACCTTAACATTTGCAGTGTGCTTTAATAAACGCTACTGGTTAAAACTGGAATCTGCTGTTCTGCATTTATTTCTGTTTCAGACTTGGAACCACAGTTGTTGTCAGTGAGTCAGGCTGGTGCAGTCTCTGTCCTAAGCTAATCTGTGTCACTCTGCCACTTGATTGGCTATTTTCTCCAACTGGCTGATCTCTCTGGGGCTCTGCTCCATCAAATCGGCACTCAGCTGCCAAATGTTGACTGTCCCATCGGTTTTTCCAACCGCCAAGAGGTGAGGTTTCTGACAGTTGAAGGCCAAACAAGTTGCAGCTTGGTCCGCATCTCCCTGCTCAATTGTAGCTGCTGCTCTCAGTGACCTGTGGCTCAGGTCGAACATCTGCACCTCACCTAGGAAAGTTACACACATGAAGAATCTGTTTTACACGCCGATGTACTGTTGGCTTTCTCCAAGAGGCTTCATTTCTTCATTGTAACCCCACACACGCAGGTACATTTGAAATCGGTGTACTACCTTTTCCAGTGGCTGCAGCAAAAACCAGCGGCCTGGTTGGTGACCACTGCACCTGAAAAATGTAAGAGTCTGAAACTCTGAGAGAGAGCAGTGGACTGGCCTGCAGCAGCGAGTGAAGGTGGACCAGACCATCAGTTGATCCACTCACAAACAGATTCCTGTAAAGACCATGAGACAGATGTCACTCATGACAAATGTGAAAAGTAAACCCCCTCCTCTTTAATGAATTTATTGTGTGTGTTCTGCAAGTTTACCTGTGGAAGGGGGAGCAGTGTATGGAATGGACAGGGCCGCTGCGGGGCCTAAATGAGAAGACTGCCGGGGCTCTTAGTGTTGCATTCTGGCCCTCAAAGGCTGTTGCAGCTAGTGTTTGAGAAGAGAAGGAGCATCTGAGCAGCAGGCCTCCCTCAGACCCCACGAGGAAGGTGTCAGAATCCCATGGGGACAGAGCCATTGACGTGATACCTACAGTGCTGTTGCTGCGGGCCTGAGGACAACACAAAAATCGGTCTTTTACACAGAAGCATGGTGAGCAGAGGACTGCAAGAAGAATTATGTTCTGTGTCTGGAAAAAATTTGTGTATTATCACTTGTTTACCTGAACTGGACTTTTGCATTAATTACTCAAACTATGACCATCTAAGTAAGTGGGCAGTGGACAAGTCAGCCAGGGACTAGAGTCTGAACCATGGTTTGAATAACCCTCATCACTCAGGCCACTCAGACCAAGTCCATTCCAAAGACTTTGCAACCTGTGACTTTCTCTTTTTTTCTATATATTCCTCCTGTTTGTTATTTATTCCTGCTGTCTTACCATTTATATTTTATTCCTCTTCAGTTGGTGCAGAGCACCCACAATTTCATTGTACATGTACAATGACAATAAGGAGCTATTCAATTCTATAAAGCACTCTACCAAAACCACTCAGTTGGCTCTTTTCAGGGTCACATTTTCACTGATTCGCTTCATTTTTATTGCGCTCTTAGATAGAAGCCATATTATTAATATAAACAACAGGAAGTCAGCCAGTGGGGTCTTTGCTATGCTACTGCCTGAACATTTCCAAACCATGTGAAACATCTCGGTACCTCATGAAAAAAAACAAAGAGGATCTAAAATGTTTACTCAGTAGTAGGATGGTCTATCCCCTGAATCAACACACTGATCCAGGGGATAGACCATATTCCCTCCCTCCTTCCAATGTTATTGCTAACATTCATTTCAATTTTTTTATATAGCGTCACTGAGGCGTTCCCTGTCCAGCTGTCTCTCCAGTGTGTCCTGGGTCTGCCCCGGAGCTTCCTCAGGGTGGCACATGCCCAGGAGGCATCCTTGTTAGATGCTCAAACCACCTCAACTGACTCCTTTCGACGTGGAGTAATTGCTCTACTTTGAGCCTCTCTTGGATGGCTGAGCTCCTCACTCTGTCACCCTTTGAAGAAAGCTAATTTCTGTTGTTTGTATCTGCGAGCTCGTTCTTTCAGTCGCTACCCACAGTACATGACCAGAAGTGATGGTGTGGACGTAGATCGCTTCGCCCTTATACTCAGCTCCCTCTTCATCACTACAGCCGCAACCCCAATCCGTCTGTTGATCTTCCCTTTCCCCTCACTCGTAAGCAAGACCCCGAGACACTTGCGGCAGCAACTCGTCCCTAACCTGGGCACTCCACCCTTTAATGGCTTAGCACCATGGCCACAGAATCAGAGGTGCTGATTCTGATTCCTGCTGCAAACCATTCCACTGCGACCTGATGAAGTCAAAAAAATCAACATCATCTGCAAAAAGCAGACAAGATTCTGAGACCACCAAAGTGGAAGCCTTCCACCACTTGTCAAAAAATCATGAACAGAATCTGTGACAAATGGTAGCCCTGTTGGAGTCCAACACTCACTAAGAACAAGTCCAACTTATTGCTGTTAATGTGGACCAAGCTCTTGCAACAGTGGTATAAGGATCAAATGGCCCGTTGCTATAAGCCAGACAAAATACTCAGAGGGTCTGCCAATCCAGAAGTACCCCCGCCCCCCGCCCGATCTCCATATCCAGATCATTACAACATCCAGCGCTTTCAGGAACTCAGGATTAACCTCATCCACCCCCAGGGCCCTGCCGCCAAAGACTTGTTTAACTGCCTCAGTGACCTCACCCACAGTGATGGGGTGATGAGTCGTCCCCCTTATCCCACTGGGACACTCCTGGGGAAAACCTGGTCTTGTTAAGAGAGACACCATCCATCCCACTTTGGATGGAGCAGCTTTCATTTCTACAAATCTGGCCAAACTGACTGTGTTGAACTTGCCTTGTAGGGTGTCCCAATCTAGCTATGAGCAAGTTCACATAAAAGGGGCAGCATACAACCAGTCACAATAAGGATGACTAGTGGTAGTACAATAGCCATACAAAAGAGAAGACTATAATCCCTTATGTTAATTCTCTCAGCTGCATCGGTGAGTTTGAGATCAAGTAGAGAAGGAGTATAAAATGTGGAGATTTCTGTGAATGAGACCAAACAACCTTTTATTAGCTGCTACAAACAGGAAATACTATTTAGTGACAAGGTTCCGTCCAGTCACCGGTACTGGGTGCAATTACAATCACATTACATTTATCAGTAACAGTAGGACATCCATCCATCCATTCGCTCTTATCCTTTCCAGGGTCGCGGGGGCGCTGGAGCCTATCCCAGCTGTCATAGGGCGAGAGGCAGGGTACACCCTGGACAGGTCGCCAGTCTGTCGCAGGGCTAACACACAGGGACAGACAACCATTCACACTCACATTCACACCTAGTGGCAATTTAGATTATCCAATTAACCTATCCCCACAAGCTGCATGTCTTTGGACGGTGGGAGGAAGCCGGAGTACCCGGAGGGAACCCACGCAAACATGGGGAGAACATGCAAACTCCACACAGAAAGACCCCGGCCTGATGGTGGAATTGAACTCAGGACCTTCTTGCTGTGCAGCAGCAGTGCTAACCACCGTGCTGCCCTAACAGTAGAACATGCTGTACTAAATTGTTGTTTTTGGGTTCATACCTAAAAACTAAGAGAAAGATCATATGTGTATCCTCATTAGGATAGGGATTTGTGTTGGTGTGTAGGGCTGTAGCCTCGGGTTTACATTGTTAACTGGTAATAAGAGTAATGAGCAATGAGTGATAAGTAAATAGGAAGTAATGTGACTAGTTTAACGAATTGCTTTCTCCAGCAGGTAATTAAGTAATTTTAGCTGCATTACTTTTAAGAAAAGTAATGTGTAATACATGACATTTTTTGAGTAATGCCCCCAACACTGGCAGTCAAAAACCGAAAATGCTGTGCCTACCTTTTCCATTGTGTTGCACCTCCACACCACCATAACATTCAGGAATTTCAAAGTGTTGTTTTTCTGCAGATGAAGAGTTCAGCCTGAAGCTCACCTTGAAACGGCTGCTGCTGTGGGGAACCTGCTGTTGTAGCACGGCATAGGCGGCTTTCTGGACAAAACTGCCTTGCTCAAAACCAACCGTCCACAGCAGCACTCTTCCTCCCGAGCAGGCACTGAGCACCCCGAACTCTCCCTTCTTCTGCAGAGGCACCCAGGAAACCTGCACACATAAATCCTCCCTTCACACTCATGCAAGACCACCAAGCAGGGTCATGCCTGGTTAATATTTGCATGGGAGACTGCATGTCCATTTACCATTTACTTTACTCTGGAATAATGCTATTTCAGGTTATCCTGGAGAGCTGTGATCAAGTTCAAGTGTGTAAGATCAAGCAACATGCAGCAGGATGAAGAGAGTTTAGCAGAAATGCCAAAAGCATTGTTTCCTCTTACCTGGTAAACAGGGTCTCTGTGGCTGTCTGCAGACAACCCAGTTTGAGCCACTACAGAGTCTTGAGTCCGACTGGTGTCCCAAATCACCACTTCTCCACTGTACAGACCCCCTGCAGCGACAGCATTACACACAATAAATAATTCAGTATTAAAGTCATCAAACAGCTACTTAAAAGAAGCTTTGTGAAGTCTGGGAAAGGCAGCACCGATCATGCTGTCAGTGATTTCTCAGCCAGATTAGGAGCAACAGTCAAGAGACAAGTAGCAGCTGATGAAGATGGTCAGACAGACCAAGATAGGGATGAGGCTTTATGATAGCTTTATTAACTTTGAAGGATTTAAAACAGCTAGATTTATTTTGGCCAATACAGCTGATCCTAGTATAAGACAAAGGAGCACCAATGACAGCAGACAATGCTCAGATATTACCAATACTCTGAACCCGAATTATTCTCAGATATGGTCACAATGTCCCCTTCGGGTTGTGAATTTCTGAATATTAAAGAAGATCAAGTTCACCTCACATTTCAAGCTGGCAGTAGTTAAACTATTACTTAAAAAGCCATCACTTAATACTATGTTTAATACTTTGGAAAAGAGTTATTAGGGCATATTTATTTCTGTGAAGGTGGCATCACTGTACCTGCGATGAGGGAAGGCTGGTTGGGATGACAGCACAAAGCTGTGACTGCAGTAGGAACATCTATGACCAGGTCCGCCTGACTGTGATGCAGGCCTCGACGGTCCAGGTTCCAGGTGCAAACACATGACTTCTCATTGCTCCAGTCTCCATTGTCAATCCTGCCCACCATAAACACAGATCTGAGCCACAATGATAACAGCAGAGCTTTTCCAGCAGTTTACACTTTTTATGACCTGGAGAAAAACATCAGGAAATAATGAGTGGACTGTTAGTATCGTATACATTAACATCAGACACACATACCGACCATAGGCACAGGCAATGACTGAGCCAGTACAACTCCAGGAAACACTAGTGACATGCAGGCCTTTCTCTTTAGCGCCGGGATGTTGAAGGGAATGGATGAGTAAGACCTGAAAGATGGAACACCGTCATACAGAGATGTGAACAGGTTTTAGGCAAATCAAAACAGCGATCTGCTGTGCTGATGCCTTGTGAATAACGGGACAGCTGAAAGTAACTTTTTAGTGCAATGTTTCACTTTCACTTCATGATAAAGACCATCAGGTAGTAATATGACCATTCTAGATTCCTTCTGCAGCAGATGACAAACCCTCTCTGACATACAAACAAGTGTTCTGCTTACCCGCTGACTGTGGTCTTCCCAGCTTGCCTGAAACCCGTCAAAGGCATGGCTCCTGACATTTTTCACTAACTCTCTGACGACCATGTCTTCAACCTGCTGTAGGAAGTCCTTCAAGCCAGGCGGCTCTGGTTCATCTTGGTTTTGTTGGATGAGCTGCTCTGTGGCCTGCTCCTGTAGCTCTGTCTGAGTAGAGCTGATGGTAGTGGAAATGACCTGGACCTCTGACTCAGCACTGCGAAACATCTGAGTCTGACATCCTTTCTGAAACCCCAGCAAAAATAATGGTCTTTTTACTAAGGAAGCAAGAAAGGTGAGATGCCTTATGTGATTCACAGTTCAACATAATCCTTATGTATCTTATAAGCCCTGGTTTAGCCCATCGCTTCATCCACAGTATGCATAAAAGAGAGACAAAGCCACAGTGGAATCACTCATTGGTTTCGAATGTATTTTGAAGGCTCAATGTTAGCATTTTGGCCACTGTCAACCAGATGTTTGTGTGCTAAGTCCATGGTGTGTCCGCTCCAGAACTGCATAAGCAGAAGGATGGAGAATTGGGTTTTCCAAAAGGTATGAACAGCACAGATACAGTTAAAAGAGCCTAGCAGACACGTATCAGCTATTGCTGCCCAGGGAAATACCTGTTATTTAAAAAAGCCACACTCAGAAATTTAAGACTTTCCTGTTTAATTACAGGATGAGCTTAAAGGTATTAAAATAATTTTAAAAAAAGAATGATGTTTTGATTAGCTGTCCCTTGCAAACAGAAGGTCTGAACCCCAGGTAGGTGGGGCTTTATCATTACTCAAGGCCACAGCTGTGTGCCTGATCTTACTGAAGCAGTGATATCTTCTGCCACTGATATACAGAGAGCAAACACTGTGTCTCAATGCGTCTAGAAGTGATCCGCCCTCATCATTTGAAATCGTGGTCATGTTTAATAGATGTAACCTGCCATAGATAATGCAACATTATCTATGGCAGGTTACAAGAACAAGAAGAAGTGTTTTCTATCAACGTTAAGTCGGTGCAGTCTGCATGAAATGTCCCTGTTTGCTTGATGCTGCATATTTCATGATGTCATCTTGCAATGCATTCTCCTCTGAATGCAAATGTGTCCACCCAGGAACACCTGAACACGCACGTGTTGTATCAGCTAAAGTTAGCTTCGGATCCAACCAATATTCTGCAACTGTAGACAGCAAGCACGTCGCTGTCCAGGCTAACAGAGTTCTGTGGGGGGCAGACTCGGTGCTGCCCAAACTTACCGACTCCTGCGCCGCCTCGCGAGACTTCCTCCACAGTGACTGGACACTCACCGTGTCCAGGGCTTCGTCTGCGAACATGCTAATAAAAAGGCATTATCAAATATTTTAACATTGATCAGCTAAACTCTAAGCACTCCGAGGGCCGTTTGACGCCTTTGGAGCCATTTTACATAAAGCTGGCGTTACCGTGGTTACTGAGATTATCACGCGAGGCAAGAAATAAATCCCACATTCACTTCCGTGTTTGTAGGCGTGAACCAGCGGACATCTTCAGCGTTAAACCCGTGTTCACTAATTGCGGCGGTTGATAATTACATTTCTTTTAAAAATACATACGAACAATGGTGTATAGTCTAAAAGATTACCCGTCTGTATGTTGTTAAAAAACTAAGACACCGCCCTTTAATAAAAACTAGGAGTTTATCAGCCTGTCACCGAACTCGGGATGATCTCAAAAGGTCGACTTCGTTCATTTGGACATCGCGTTTGCAGTGGGGGAAACGTTTCGTCATCTAAGCGATTTCTTCAGTCTCAGCTGACTCCAGGTTCCCCCTCCTTATTATAAGCAGTACATTTGCACAGTGACTGAAACTAGCACCACTGAATGAACAATGGGCTGTGAGTTCAGTGGACGAATTTTGGGCGCAAAGTGTGTTTTGAGCTTTAAAAGCTCGGGTGAGTGACGAAACGTTTGTCCCGCTGAAAACGCTACGTGCAGATAAACAGAATCAACCTTTGGGGATTTACTTATTGCGTTTTATGATTTGCAAACCTCTGTGATGGGTCTATGCAAGACAAAACCTTTCCAGGTATGAATTTGGCCAAGTATTCTGTCAAGATGATCTCCTTGTATGTGCTTGAACCATTTTCAGAGCAGTGGCTGTTAAGTGGTCATCTGTAGTTGTATCTCTTGATGCAAATATAGCCAGTGGTGAGTGAAGATTGTGTTTTTATGCTTGCAGCCCTTTTGTAGTATTTTCCCAAAAGTCTTGAGGATCATCAAGATGTTTTCTGGCAAAACTCGGAAGTCCCTTTATGTTCCTTTTGCTCAGCAGTGGTTTTCGTCTTGGAACTCTGCATGCAGGCCATTTTTGCCCATTTCTGTCTTACGGTGGAGTCATGAACACTGACCTTAACTGAGACAAGCGAGGCCTGCAGTTCTTTGAATGTTGTTCTGGGGTCTTTTGTGACCTCTTGGATGAGCTGTCATTGCCATTTGTGGATAATGGCTCTCACTGTGGTTCGCTGGAGTCCCACAGCTTTAGAAATGGCTTTAAACCTTTCCAGACTGAGAGATTTCAGTTACTTTGTTTTTCATTTGTTCCTAAATTTCCTTGGATCACCACATGATGTCTGACTTTTGAGGATCTTTTGGTCTACCCCACTTTGTCAGGCAGGTCCTATTTAAGTGATTTCTTGATTGTGGCTAGAGAAACTGAACTCATCTTTCCAAAGATGGGATGCACCACAGTTCATTTATGTTATAACATATCTATATACGTGTTAGAATATTTTTCATATTAAAATCTCACATAAAATATTTGATCCTGCCCATTAAGCTGTAATGTATGGGGTCCACATTGATCAGAGCTGTACCCATTATAATAAACACTCCACAAAATCTACATGCAGAATTGTGCAGATATATTTTAATTGTACAGTACTGTGCAAAAGTCTAACTCTCATTCAGCCTAATGCAAAAGTTAATAAACTTCTGTTTATTAAAACAGACCGAAGGATGACAACATAGAATCATAATTTATGATTTACATCATTTCCATTAGTCAAACCATAAAGTAATCTCTTTTGTCCTGTGGCTGAGAGGTTTTATCATTCTGGAAGAGATAACTCCCATCAGAATAGAAGTTATTTATTAAGCTAAGAGAATGAACTGAAGGAGCACACAGCATATGATAAATGAGGATTATTCTGAACTGTGAAACATGCAAAGCTACTCTAATAGCTTTCAAGAATAGTTCAGGAATAAATCCAGAGTTGGGAATGATTACAATAGGTCCACATTTACTGGTTCTTTATCACGCCTCTATATAAATAGCAACACTATGTACTTGCCGTTAGAAATAACTTTTCTAGTCTTACTGACCATTCATGTTCCTTCAGGCCTAACACTCCCACAGCACTTTAATCTACTTCATATCTATAGCCAAGTAAGAAACCCCAGTTAACTTAACATGTCTTTGGACTGTGGGAGGAAATACCTAGAGGAAACACACTAGAACAGGGAGGGCATATAAACTGTAGTTAGAAATTCCTTCACCTTATGCTGAGATGACTGCTTACTGCCACCCACTATATGTGATCCAAACAACTAAGAAGTAAACCTGACTTTGCCATGCGATGACTCTGCTGGGTCCACTAAATACACTTCTTTGATTGCAGACAAATGGTAGTTTGTTTAAGTGACCAAAATGTAATTTAAATAAACACGTGCAAAACTGTTTTCAAACCTGAGGCAGCCCAAATAATTTATTTTAACATCCACTAGCAGCAAAGTCATAAACAGTGAGGGTAAAGGTCACACTGAAGAGCTGGTAGCTTCCAATAATTCTCATGTAAGAAATTGAAAGAGGCTTTTCTTAAAGTAGCTAATCACTAGAGTCAGCCAGAACCTGCTCCCAGTTGTAATTATAAAAGTGACATTCTAACTTTTCTGGACAAATATTTCTGGAAGTCAATTCACTTTTGCCAAATACAGATAATTTTTCCCAGTATGATTTATCCTTAAACAGTGCTTACACCATTAAAGAATCACACACCAAACAGATTTTGTCAGCTGTTTGACCAGAGGCCTGTGCTATGTAACAGGATCAGGGATCAAGTCAAAGGCTTTACAGGGGTACACCAACACAGTAACATGCTGTAGACCTAACCTGCTACAGATGTTCAAGATGAACATGAAATCAATTCTAGCATTACCATTCCTGGAAAAGAAGATCATTCAGATTGTGGTAGGATGTAAAGTCGTTGGACAGGCCTAATAGCACTAATCCTGTGAGCACATGAGAAAATGGGATGTTGTGAGATTGGTTATGTTAGCTGAACTGGGTAAATGTGATCAAACTACTCCAAACATCATGTATACATTTATTTATTATAACAAAGTAACTAGTACACTTAATTTAATGGGAACAGGTCTCTAGCAGTACAGGAGAAAAGCTGCAGACTCCAGAGGACTCAAGAGAACAGCGTAGTCTCCCATCTGAACGTGTTACACTAACCTAGAACTCTGAGTTTTAGTGTAATCTCATATATATATGAGAAAATGTACATTACAACTCTTTGTTGTGGGTGCCTGGAAAACAAGACAATGAAACTTTATTTAACAGAAGTCCAGAGTTGGTGTCAAAGTCCCCCTGCCCAACCATACCCTCCCCCATTAAACTGTGTACAATTAACTGGCCTACCAAGATACATGGATATCCCAAAACATTTACAACAGTTCAAAGGAACAAGCTGGTGCTTTTAATCAGTTCATTAATACAATAAGTCACAAAGGAAAATGCAGCTTCTAATAAGCCTCATTACCCCCACCACTGAATATATAATAATAAACACATACACATATGTATACACACACATATATGTATATATATATATATATACATACGTGTGTATTGATATATGTGTGTATGTTATATATACGTGGGTGCGCGCATATTATATATATATAATATGCGCGCACACGTATGCGCTAAGGATGCTATGATTAAGTTATCACTGCACCATGGCTTCTTTTTATTGAACTCACAACTTCAACAGAAACTGTTTTTATTGTACATACAAATTGTTATTGTATGGAGTTTAAATCTACATAGAATGACGTGCAGAATGCTACAAATTTTTTTTTAATTCTTTTGCATGTCTTTGGGAGATGTAGAGAAATAATGACAGGTGAAAAATCCAGAGAGCCACTGACACCTGCACCTCCACCCCTCTGCAGACCCGCTGTGTATGGAGCTGGTCCTCAGACAATATCTGCAGGCTGTGGCTGCAGAGGAAGAGGACGGACAGGGTGACAACACACAGACCCCCCCTCCCCACCCCCACCCCAAAAAACAAACCAAAAAAAGAAATTTGCTCCCATGAGTTGAAGAGAGACCACGGAGCGAGGATGGAGAAAAGGTGTTGACTGAAACCTTTAATCATCTTCGCCGTCATCCTGGAAGAAGAAGAACAAAAGTATTACAACACAATCATTCAAAGATGTCACCACAGCAGTTTTATTAGCACTCACGTGTGCTAATTACAAGCAGCTTCCAACTACAGCAGCAGCTTTTACATCAACTTGCTACAGGTCTGATAATTTAATTAACTCCGCAAACACGGAAGACAAGGAATGTCACATAAACCACCTGATCCTATACTACGACAACAAATACAATACTACAGTAATGCCACCAGAATACTGGAATAATACAATCACAACAATACAATAATATGGTAGCAACACTAGAACAGTACCAGGTAAAGCCACAATAATATCACTGTAATCCTGTAATAAGACCAATATAATAGTACCAATATAATTACTAGTTTAAAATAGCCTGAAATACACAATGTCTCTATATCATAAGACTTACTGGTCTACAATAACTACACTACGATGTGACAACTCATGTTATACTAACTAATACTATTAATAATGCATGTGTCAGTTGTTGCCATGTTTATACTGCAATAATACCACCATAACAGTACAATATCACTGTAATACTAAATTTCTACCAATGTAATAATATAATACTAATGTAACTCTGTAATACTGCATTACCAACACTGTAAATGTGCAGTTATATCACTCAGCCGATTGGGATATAAGAACTACAATACTACAGCCATGACACCGCAATTATAGCATTAAGTTAGTATTTTAACAGTAATATCATGCTAAAACACTAAAGCTCCGAGAAAGCAATGATACCACAGCAATGCTACAATAGCACTGTAACGATGCACTGTAACTTTGTTAACTATAAAATTACTGACTGTGCTGGTTTTGTTTAGTTTTATTTTTGTAATTTTAGATACACTTTACAGATGAATGAGCCACCAAAGGCCATTTATTCAGAAATACTGATAATACCATGAAACTGCCAGATTATTAAATGACACCACTTCATCAATTTTCAGCAATACAAAAAACTGAAATTACAATCTGATGAATGGCCCAGCGCTGCCTTTAGAATTACTAACATGCTAACTCAATTTATTGAGCAGAGTTGTTCCAAACAGTCAGGCTAAAATTACAATAAACAACAAAGACATACTTTTCTTTCTTAATCTCATTTAAAATGCCTAGCTTTTAATAAATAAGAATCTTACACCCAAAGTTTTAATCTGATGTAAAATGCATAGAAGTCCATTACTGTATATAGTAACTGTTAAGTCTATACCCTAGTAAGCTTTACTACTTTTTCCTTTGGGAAGGTACCATCTGTGCAGTCTGCAGTTCTGTTGAAGAAAGATGTTGACTATGAAAATTTTGGGTGCAGTGTATTTTTTGCATACAGGTATAACAGAATAGCTTTAGTGTTTTTTTGTTTTTTAACTTGAGTATGAACTTATACAAAAAGTAGCAAGATATTAAAAAAACAGTTTTATTGATTAAAAAACACTATATCGGATTCACATCGGTATCGGCAGACATCCAAATTTATGACATCGGTATCGGACATAAAAAAGTGATATCGTGCCATCTCTAGTTCTAACACCATCTTTCTCAGCACAGCCAACTTACATCTTCATTTTAGGCAGATTTGATTCACTTTTGTAACAGCCCTCTTTACAGTAATGTTTTTGGATAACCGATAAGATGAAGTGATGAGGTGAAATTATTAAAATGCTTAGAAACATTACAACTGTATGTGCTCTGAACTGGGCTAAACCGTCTGCATTAGTGTTGCTGGTTTCATGGAGATTGTATTTTGTAGTTTGGCAAAGCATAAAACTTAATCGTCAAAAACATTCAATACCCAGAATAGTTAAT